ATTTCATCCTAAAGCTTTTGAATAAAAAAAATGTCCACTATTTTGTGAAAAAAAAATAGTGAACATAATGTGAAAAAAGTGGACTGTCCACTCAAATAGTGGACACCTGGCAACCCTATTTTCTTCCTGGCTTTTAACCTCGTGTAAAGGAGCTCAAGATTGTAGCTTGTCACAACGCTCCGCAAGGCAGCCGGGAAGCAGCGCAGCANGCCCCGGAGGCGCCTCGCAGCCACCGGTGAGCCCGCACCGCCCGGGACCCCGCCCGCCTCACCTGGGCGCCTCACCTGGGCGCCGGGACGGCCGAGGCAGCTCCGAGGGCCGCGCCCGAGCCTCGAGCCTGCAGCGGGCCCGCCGGGGGCTCCCTTTGCCCGGGTGGGGGTGGGAGCCCCGCGGCGTCCGGCGCGTCGCAGCTGGAAGCCGGGAAGAGCCCGGGCGGCGGAGCTTTGCGCAGACGGGGCGGGCCCGGGACTCGGGTCCTGAGCCTGGCCGGAGGGTCGGGGGAGGCGACCCTTCCGCCGGGCAGAGATCCTCGCCGGCTGCGCGGTCACCGGACGGCTCGCCTGCCGCCTTGGGCGGGAATCTGTGCAAGAAGAGATGGGGGGCAATCGGGGGCCTTGGCGGGAAGGGAAAGGCGCTTTTGGCTGCCCTCGAAGGACCCCTTACCCCGCTAGCCGGGATCCAGAGCCGGCTGACATCCCGGGTGGGTCTCCAGCCGCTGGGAGACGTCGGGTTTCTGCCCCCGGCTCCCTTCCCCGCTTCCCCGGGTCAGGGAAGCGGCTGAGGCTGCATCCCCACAATCTGCTGAACTGAGCCAAGGACGCGTCTTAAAGCGAGAGTCACGGGGAAGATGGAGTGGGTTTACTTTGGCAGGGCCTCTTCATCCTGGGCGGGGGGGGGACGCGTTTCCCAAACGGGTCTGGAACAGCCCGGGGCGCCCCCCTAACGACCCGGTTAATCATTTCTGAAGCTTTTGCAGGGTGGAATTCCTAACCCGCTCAGCCTTTCTGCCTCCCAGCCGGTAGGACGGGCTTCCCTCCCTCGGCACCTTCCCTGATGCCGGCTGCCTCCGCTTCTTAGCAGGCTGGGGTGGGTTCTGGGCTAGCTGCCTCGCAAGCTGCAGAGAGCAGGAGGGACCGAATGTACATTTTTAGAGATGTGTCCTGACCACAGGGTGACTTTGGTGCGAGAAAGCAACAGCATAAACGGAGAGACTCAGCCGGACGTCCAGTTGCTGCTGTGAAGGAGAAAGAAGGAAGGCGGCACCCAGGCGCTCGGGAAAGACAGTGCCGGCAGCCCAGAGGGAGCCCAGGCCAGCAAGCGGAGTCCTCCAGTGTGCGCTGGAGGTGGTGGAGCTGGCCAGGAAGGGTGGAGCGAGAGTCGTGCACAGGTAGGAGAGAGCAGTGCAATATGGGTCCTGAGGTTGGGTGGGCTGGGAGGCAAAGAGGTGGGTGCAGCCCAGGTGCTGGGCCAGACATCTCGTTGGCAAGTCCACCAGGCCTCTGAGGCTCGGCTGTAGTCCTGAGCCAAAGGGGGAGTTGAAACTCCCACCAGTGGGGGGCCAGGATAGGACCTGGACTGGCCCTTCCAGGAGGGGAGCTCCGTTCCAGAGCCCTGAGAAAGAGAAGCAGCTGAAAGGAGAACCCAGACTAAAAACTGAAGAGGTGGAGAACTTGGAGGCACTTCTTCCTTCTGCTCTAGACCATGTGAGGAGGGCATCCCTCCTCCTCCTCCTCCTCCTCCTCCTTGTTCTTCTCACCAGTCCTGGCCTGGGTCCTCTTGCTCAGAACCTCCTGAGATGGCTTGCAAAGAGGGCTGATGCTCGGATTCTCGCTTTGTCTTCTCTGTCCAGGAACCAGGACCCCACTGGACAAAGCTGCTCCCCCATGGCCGCCCTTAACGACAGCCGCTTTGACCCCATAACCTTCGTCCTGACGGGAATCCCCGGCATGGAGGCATCTCACGTCTGGATCTCTGTCCCCTTCTGCCTGATGTATGTGGTGGCCCTCATGGGAAACGTGTTTCTCCTCTTTCTCATCGCCACAGAGCGCAGCCTCCACCAGCCCATGTACCTCTTCCTGGCCATGCTGGCAGTAGCTGATCTCATGCTGTCCACCTCCACGGTGCCGGAGATGCTGGCCATCTTCTGGTTCGGGTCCAGGAAGATCTCCTTTGACGCGTGCATCGCCCAGATGTTCTTCACCCACTTCAGCTTCATTGCAGAGTCCACCATCCTGCTGGCCATGGCCTTTGACCGCTACGTGGCGGTTTGTGACCCACTGCGCTACATGACCATCCTCACGCCTTCCGCGATAGGGAAGGTGGCCATCGCCGCCGTCGTCAGGGGGCTCGCAATCATGTTCCCCCCCATCTTCCTCCTGAAGAGGCTGCCCTACTGTGGCCACAGCACAATGCCGCACACCTATTGTGAGCACATGGGCATTGCCCGCCTGGCTTGCGGGGACATCACCGCCAACATCTGGTACGGCTTCACCACGACCCTCCTGTCCTCTGGCGTTGACGTGGTGCTCATTGCCGCCTCATACGCCTTGATCCTCCGGGCTGTCTTCCAGCTGGCCTGCAAGGAAGCCCGGCGCAAAGCTCTGCGCACCTGCGGCTCCCACATCTCGGTCATCCTCTTATTCTACACGCCGGCCTTCTTCTCCTTCCTCACCCATCGCTTCGGCCACAACATCCCTAGCTGGATCCACATCTTGTTGGCTGACCTCTACGTGATTGTGCCGCCCATGCTCAACCCCATTGTCTACGGGGTCCGAACGAAGCAGATCCGGGAACGGGTCATCCGTATGCTCTCCCAGAGGGGGAGGACCTGCTTCTGAACCCTGGACCGCCTCAGCCGAACTCTGAGGGAGGACCTGGGCTGAAGGCAGCTACAGGGTGAGAGCTGCCTCCCTCTCAAGGGAAGGAGATGGACTCCCAGGTCAGGAGCAGTAAGAACTCTTGTGGTGCAGTTGCTCTTCCAGGCCGTCTTCTCCGTGGGGGAAATGCCTCGTTGCAGTGGTCATTGTGGCTGCAGATCCATTAAAGCTGCCCGGTCCTTGCCCGTCCATGCCTGGTGTGGTGCCTGTTCCCTGGAGTCAGAAGGGGGGCTGCAGGCAGCTGCCTGGGTGGGTGGGCGGGAGAGCGGTCAGCTGCCCTTCTCTTGTCCTGCTTGTGGTCTCTCCGGATCTCTCTGGCTGGCCTCTCTGAGACCAAGAGCACTGGACAGGCCCCCCCACCCCACCCCCGTTCAGTCCAGGCTCTTCTGTCTCAGCCACTGGTGCCTCTTTGGCTGCGAGGGGGTGAGGGTGGCTGGGTACCTCCTCTGCCCTCCTCCTGGAAGTTGTCCCCGGAAAGGGTTTGGATGGGCTGGGCCTTTTTGCCCCGCCCTTCCCCAATTGGGTGGTCTTTTCTATAGATCGCTTGAAAGCCTTGGGGGAGGGGGCTGTGCACATCCCAAACTCCCGTGATGGGCTCCTGCCCTTTTGCCTTGCGATGCTGTGCATGAAGGTGGGGGCCGCTGGACAGATGTGAGCACAAAAACCCGAGGGGACACCCCCCCTGCAGAACCACAAGAGGGAACTAGGTGAATTGGGGCCCAGCAGAAGAACGCCAGAGACTCCCCCCTTCCCTTCCTTGTTTTGCCCCAGGCCGACTTCTGTGCCTCACTGGCTCTCTCTCTGGGAATTGAAGTCCACGAGTCATAAAAGATCCCAGGTTGCCCACCCCTGCCCTACATGTGGCTGTCCAGTCTCTTCTTAAAAACCTCCAATGATGGAGCACCCACAACTTCTGGAGGCAGGTTGTTCCACTGGTAAATTGTTCTGACTGTCAGGAAGTTTCTCCTTAGTTCCAGGTTGCTTCTCTCCTTGATTAGTTTCCATCCGTTGCTTCTTGTCCTGCCTTCAGGTGCTTTGGAGAATAGCTTGACTCCTTCTTCTTTGGGGCAGCCCCTGAGATACTGGAAGACTGCTATCATGTCCCCCTTAGTCCTTCTTTTCATGTTAAAATGGTATTGATGGATTTGAGGTTAAAATTTGTATTTAGAGGGTATTAGACTACCCCAAAAATGTGTTGTACTCAAAATATACTGGAAGGCTGCTACCATGTCACCCCTGGTCCGTCTTTTCTCTAGGCTGGCCATACCCAAGTCCTGTAGCCGTTCTTTGTATGTTTTTGTCTTAAGATGCCTTTAATCATCTTCGTTGCTCTTCTCTGCACTTTTTCCAAAGTCTCAACATCTTTTTTGTAGTGTGGTGACCAAAACTGGATGCTGTATTCCAGGTGTGGCCTGACTGAGGTTTTGTAAAGCTTAGATGGCACCACGCTGGAGAGAGCCGAGGGGTTTGGCTGCCGTGCCATCAACTGTAATTCCAACTTCAGTGAGGCTCTTGCTTGAAGACCCTGTTAATGGGGGTGAACTGTGGGACTCTACCTGAAGAGGGGGGTGAACTGCTGACGGTTGAGGGGAAACCTCCACGGTCGTGCTGTGCGTTGAGCCTGTGACCGTTCCACTCAATTTCCTGCCCAGCACCAGTTGTGGGAAGAAGGTGCAGGACCTGCAACTCTTGTGTTGTCTTCTGAGGACACAATGAACTTTGCGCTGGGATGCCATAGGAGGGCTGAGGGGGTTTGAGCCCATCAAGGATGACCTGTGGCTTGCAGAAGGAGGGGTCCCGGCCCATGGAACTCCCCCTGGGCAGCCTAGAAGACTGGGCAGAGGTCCAGCCAGTGGCCTCCACAGTGACATCACAGAGCACGGATTCCGCCTCAGAAGGTTGGCGTGGTGCCTCTGTGGGCGGGGGAGAGACGCGGGTAGAAGAGGAGACCCATAGCTTGCACGTGGGCAGAGTGAGGAAGCCGGGCAGGGGCACTTTGGGCTGGGATGAGCAGCGCGCTCTGACTCTGACCGGCCACAGCCAAGGGAGAGCTCTCATCCCTGCTTGCTACCCACTTGGCCTTCGTTCTTTTCCCAGAAGAGAGAGGAAAAACTTTGGGGCATTATGGTTGAAAGCCAGATCATTCCAGGCGTTGACTTCAGATCCACCAAAGAGCCACAGGTTGTCCGGATAATTGTGAAGGCGCCCTGGCAGAAGGAAGAGTTTCTAGTCCACAAGGACATGCTGGTGAGGGAATTCAAGGAGCACGTAGCCCGGCACTTGTCCTCTCCTCCTTCCCAAATTGTGCTGGTCTACACTGGAAGGATCTTAAAAGACCACAAGTCCCTAGCCCAGCATGGGATCCATCTGGACAGCAACGCTGCTGTTTATGTCGTTGTCCGGTCCCAACAAGCAGGTCCACCCCGGCGGGTGCCCACTCTTCCAGCTGACTTGGGCCCAGACCCCAAAGCCCCCAGGAGCGGCATTTTTGCGAGTGACGGTTTGCGGGATCTGGCGGCCAGTCTGGGCCTGAACACCGCCAATTTCATGGAATTCCAGCTCCAGCTGATATCCAATCCTGACCTGATGCTGCAGTTTTTGGAGAGCCCCTTCATCCAGAGCAAAGTCTCCAGTCCTGATCTGATGAAGGAGCTGGCCACCAAGAGCCTCCAGGTGCGGCGAGTGATAGAGAGGGCTCCTGAGATCATCCAGGTCTTCAGCTCTGCTGAAGGCAGGAGGTTGGTGTCGGAGCTGGTCAAGAACCCGGCTGCTCTGAGGGAAATCATCAAGTCCCCACCCCAGGCTCACCCTTGTCCCGGGAGCGTCCCCAGTGGAGACAGCAACACGGCCTTGCAGGACGTGCTGATGGAGCTGCAGGGCCTGGTGCGGAAGGCCCTCCTCAAAAGATCTGCCCCCACCGTCTTGCCAGGAGCCCTCGGGGGCCACCAGCCCTCCTTTGAGCAGGGCGGGAAGTCTGGGCGGGCCAGGCAGCAGCTGCCTTCCCCCAAACTCTGGCCCCCGAGGTCCGGTGGCCAGAACGTTGGCACGGCTGTCGGCCATGACCACAGCAAAGGGGAAAGTGGCAACGTGCGAGGGGAAACAGGCCAGCTGGCCTCAGCAGCGGTGAAGAACCTGCTCCATCAGATCATCAAGCACCTCGTGCAGAGCATGGCCAGCAGCCCCTCCAGGAACCCCACCGGTCAGGGTCTCGGCTCAGAGGGGGCGGGCAAGGCTGCCCAGAAGTACGTGGCTGGATCCAGAAACTCCCGGGAGCAGATCCCCACGCTCTTGCAGCAGATCCAAAACACAGATGTCCTTCTGGCAAGCTGGAGCCCGAAAGAGATCCAGGCACTGCTGGAAATTCAGCAGAGGTTGCAGGCCCTGGCGACCGACGAGCCGGCGCTGGAGAGGCGCCGCCGATCAGAACGCCCCGCCCGGAGGTCGTCTTCCATCACGTCCCTCTGCGACATGGTCCCCCCTTCTGGGGCAGGGGAGGAGGAGGAGGAGGGCTTCTCTGCCCCTGAGATCTGGCAGAGTTTGGCAGCCGATGACTTCTTCTGCAGCCCCCCCCTCCGTGTCCGCCTGCGGGGCTGCTCGGGGCAAGCCTCTTCGAAGCAGCAGACATACAAGCTCTGAAGCCGCGGGGCTGAGCCTTCGGCGGAGTGGATGGGGCCCTTTCGGGGCAGCTTCTGTGCAGATGTGAGAGCTTCATAAAGGAATGGATTTCATGGTTTCTGATTAAAAGCTTTAAATCTTTCAGCACGTCTCCTCTTGCCTCTGGCTGGGCCCTGCGCCGGGCTTCTGGCCCTTAAGGTCGAGTCCGCTTCTTGGCAAAAGGGCCAAAACCTCTAACCACAGTCGGGGAGTTTGGCCCTTTTTTCCAAGAAGAGAAATCTGGGCTGGTCTTGCAATCTTTCACCGAGGGGGGGGGAGCAGCCTCCTCATTTTTTTCCCACGCTCCCATCTCTTGCAACGAATCACTGAAAATATTCCGGAACCATGAACTGGGTTGCTTTATAGTTCTGGTCCGGACAGCATAAACTCAATGAGAACGATTTTTAAAACAATATTTATTGTCCAGGAATTCTAGGCAGAGACTTACTATGCAGAAGATACGTCTGGTCATTAGGATATTGTTCATTCTCATAGGTAAAGGAATAATGGACTCCACCATCCTGCGTAAAGGTTACAGGCTGGCACGGATCCATGCAGAGAGATAATACAATGGCACAAAGCCAGGATGTCCTGCAATAAACTTTTAAACTCCTCCCACTTAACTAGATAAACTATAGGATTAAGCAGGGGTAGGCAACCTTGGCTCTTTTATGACTCGTGGACTTCAAATCCCAGAATTCCTGAGCCTGCCGTAATCCTCTGGGATTAAGGCAGGACCTGCCTGAAATGGCGTAGGGTCTCCTGCTTGAGGTCCCTTCCAGTCTATTCTGATTCCAACTCTTACTCAGTCATGGTATCCTTCCGGCTGCACGGTCTCTAATATCTCCTGCCAAGAACACCGAATGACTCAGAAAAGAGAATCTGTGTCTGAATGGAAGGGAACTTCCTCATGTCTTGGCCAGCAAACCACCTTTCTGGTCTTCTGGAGAGTGAGTTTAGTGAACCATACCTTGAAGGTTCATCCCCAGTGTGTGGTGTCCATCTGAACCCACCGGGGCATGGGATTAGAATGGCAGGAGAGCATGCACAAACACAACCATGTGCAAAGATCTGATGGATAAAAGTACCAAGACCCAGCCAGTATGTGTGTGTGTGTGTGTGTGTCTTTGTGTGCCTTTGCATCATTCTTGATTCCTGGAGACCACCAGGGGTAGGCAACCTTGGCTCTTTTATGACTCGTGGACTTCAACTCCCAGAATTCCTGAGCCAGCTGTGCTGGCTCAGGAATTCTGGGAGTTGAAGTCCACGAGTCATAAAAGAGCCAAGGTTGCCTACCCCTGGGATTAACTAACAACTGAAACTACGTTACCCATAAGCCATCTCTTAAGGAAAGGGCATTTAACCCTTTAAATGCTATATGTTCTTACATACAGTTCTCTCAATGATACAACATTAACCCTGTAAATGCTAAATATTCTAACACAGTTCTAGCTGGCTACAATCCGGTCCAGCACAGGAAATCAGTGCAATAGTTATCCCAAAGGTGGTTTTACAAAAGGTAACTGGACTTCCTTGATTTTTTTTCCTTGAAAATGTTCCGCTTCTCATCCAAGAAGTTTCTTCAGTTCTAAAGTTTTCAAGGGGAAAAAAAAACACAAGCAAGTCCAGTTGCCTTTTGGAAAAAAGCACCTTTGGGACAATCGTGAGCCAGATGGCTGAGAGTCTCCACAGATGTCGCAATAGTCCGTAGTGGTGGCCACTGGTCTGGTGATGGACATCCAGAGCGCCCTTTCACCTGTCCAAAGGCCTTTGATTTCCTCCTGCTGGGGGAACAGCCTTGGCAGAGAAGAGCAGCCAAGGTGATCAGGGGACTGGAGGCTGAAACATAGGAAGAACGGCTACAGGAACTGGGCGTGACTGGTCTAGTGAGGAGAAGGACCAGATGTAAAAAAGATGTTGAGACTCTAGAAAGAGTACAGAGAAGAGCAACAAAGATGATCAGGGGACTGGAGGCTAAAACATATGAGGAATGGTTGCTGGAATTGGGTACGTCTAGTTTAAGGAAGAGAAGGACGAGGGGGGACAGGATAGCAGTCTTCCAGTATCTCCAGTATCTCCCAAAGAAGAGGGAGTCAAGCTCTTCTCCAAAGCGCCCGAAGGCAGGACAAGAAGCAACGGATGGAAACTCATCAAGAAGAGAAGCAGCCTGGAACTAAGGAGAAACTTCCTGACAGTTAGAACGATTAACCAGTGGAACTACCTGCCTCCAGAAGCGGTGAATGCGCCAACACTGGAAGTTTTTAAGAAGAAACTGGACAGCCATTTGTCCGAAATGGTATAGGGTTTCCTGCCTGAGCAGGGGGTTGGACTAGATGACCTCCAAGGTCCCTTCCAACTTTATCATCATCATTATTATTATTACACAGGATAGCAGCCTTCCAATATTTGAGGGGGCTGTCACGGAGAAGAGGGGGTCGGACTATTTTCCAAATCACCTGAGGGCCAGACAAGGAATAACGGATGGAAACTGATCAAGGAGAGACTCAATTTAGAAATAAGGAGACATTTCCTGACGGAACAATTAACCAATGGAACTGTTTGCCTTCAGAGGTTGTGGGAGCTTCATCCGTGGAAGCTTTCAAGGAGAGACTGAGCTGCCATCTGTCAGAAATGGGGTGGGGGTCTCCTGCTTGGGTAGGGGGTTGGGCTAGATGCCCGCAAGGTCCCTTCCAAGTCTGTTATTCTAAAAACATAGTGGCCACAGATGTGGTGGAGGATGATAACTGCACCGACCCACAGGAGACCACTGTCGTGGCAGACATCCTGCCGAGGGCCCACATGCCTACCTGACCCAGGGGGGGCTTGGCTCGACTAGCTCATAGTTGGGAGACCCCGGAGGAGGAAGAGCGAGAGGACAACGTCTGCCTGAGGCTGGCAACAGGACCTTGCAGTCCCCAGAGGGTTCCCGCTGGTCAATGTGTGTTCCACATGCGTGCACACACACACAGAGCTGCAGAAGCAGGCGCCCATAATGCCAAGTAAAAACCCACAGGGGCACAAGTGGAGTTGGACCCCTGCCAACGGAGCTAAGGGGAGGGCAAGGAGAGGGGTTTTTTTGCTGCTTTATTTCATCCTGTCTCTCCTGCTTGGCTGTGGAGGGATGAAATGGAAGGATTTGTGCAGACGCCATTTTGTAAAGCTTCTGAGGACCCCTGGCAGGGCCCAGTCCTGTTCTTCACAGCCGAGCAAGTCCATCCGAAGCAGCTCGCCTTCTCTTCCTTTCAGATAGCTGAACATAGCAACCTTGAGATTGTGTAAAGCTGGTGGCTAAGCCCACACAACAACACACTAGATTTTAAGATTTAATGTCCAGCGTGTTGTGAGGGACCCAGCCTTTCCCTTTGTGTGCTGTGTGAGTCATAATATGGTTGACCTAGTTGGGTTCAGCAAAGTGCTGTATGTATCAAAGAGTACTGTTTGTTCCTTCCTTCCTTCCTTCCTTCCTTCCTTCCTTCCTTCCTTCCTTCCTTCCTTCCTTCCTTCCTTCCTTCATTTTCTATAGCTGCCCAACTCAACCAAGTGACTCTGGGAGGCTATAGAAGGATATGGATTCAGATTACTGAATATAATCCTGGGTTGTATAAACAGAGGCATAGAATCAAGATCACACGAAGTATTAGTACCGTTTTATAAAACCCTACTAAAACCACACCTGGAATACTGCAGCCAATTTTGGTCACCATACTACAAAAAAGATGTTGAGACCTTGGAAAAAGTTCAGAGAAGAGCAACTAAGATGATCAAAGGCCTGGAGACTAAAACACACGAAGAACGGCTGTGGGACTTGGGTCTGGCTAGTCTAAAGAAAAGAAGAAATAGGGGAGACATGATAGCAGTGTTCCAGTATCTGAGGGGCTGCCACAAAGAAGAGGGGGTCAAATTATTCTCCAAAGCACCAGAGGGCAGGATGAGAAACAACGGTTGGAAACTAACCAAGGAGAGAAGCAACCTGGAATTAAGGAGAAACTTCCTGACAGTGAGGACAATTAACCAGTGGAACTACCTGCCTCCAGAAGCGGTGAATGCTCCAACACTGGAAGTTTTTAAGAAGAGGCTGGACAGTCACTTGTCTGAGATGGTATAGGTTATCCTGCTTGAGCAGGGGGCTGGACTAGAAGACCTCCAAGGTCCCATTCTATTCTATTCTATTCTATTCCATATTCTCTATTCTATTCTATTCTATTCTATTCCATATTTTCTTTTCTATTCTATTCTATTCTATTCTATTCTATATTCTTTCATTCCAGTTTCTATTCTATTCTATTCTATTCTATTCTATTCTATTCTATTCTATTCTATTCCATATTTTCTATTCTATTCTATTCTATTCTATTCTATTCTATTCTATTCCATATTCTCTATTCTATTCTATTCTATTCTATTCTATTCCATATTCTCTATTCTATTCTATTCTATTCTATTCTATTCCATATTTTCTATTCTATTCTATTCTATTCTATTCTATTCTATTCTATTCTATTCTATTCTATTCTATTCCATATTCTCTATTCTATTCTATTCTATTCTATTCTATTCCATATTCTCTATTCTATTCTATTCTATTCTATTCTATTCTATTCTATTCTATTCTATTCTATTCTATTCCATTCCATTCCATTCCACGTCAAGGGCCCTTCCTGCATACAGTATCTAGGCCAGCTGTTTGGTGGCAACGTGTCTGAGCACCCCCCGCAGGGAGCCCATCCCTTCCCTGGATCACGGACTCCACTGTCAAACTCTCAGATGGAGCTTCGTGTTCAATCAGAATATAACAGTAAACTGAGTTATTGATCCTTCCCCAAAAAGGCATATTTTGGGGGGATTCGTAGGGGCTCAATCAGCAGAGACACATCTTTCTCAGATGTTTCTCCCTCTGGGAAGCCTATCACCCAGTCTATTATGGGATGGCAGATCTGGGCAACCAGTTTCCATCACTTCCAGCCAACTTGTGCTAGAGTGAT